TACTAGCAAGGTATTTATGATTCTCTCCATGGTAGGTCAGCACTTCGAGAGCGTGAAATAAAAGCTACTAGGCCTCTTCATGTCTAGGCCTCGAACTATCAAAATATCATGTCTCCCACATTCTTCACTCTATATGGTGGCCCTTCAGATGGTTAGATATAGATACCCCAGCCTCCTGTAACACTACTTCATTTGGCATAGTTTTGATTCCTTCATTATTCCCTATGGGTCCTAGATCTAGAACAATGATGATACATAACAGTACTCAACAAATATTTATTCAATAAATGAATGAATGCTAATGAATAATATAATTGTAATCTAATGCTCCCTTCAGCAGCATATACACTACTACTGAAACAATACTAGCACAAATGGTAGGCAAACTTGCAAAAATCTTCAAACCTTTAATATTTTCCACATCTTGAACCCCTTCTCTCCAATTAGCTAGTAATTCTGTCAAATCACCCAGTTTGCTCCTCAGCCTGCCACACAACAGTGAAGAGGTGAGAATGAAAACAACCTCAATGAAATAGTCCTTAGGCTCACAGTCTCAGAACTCCTAGGACCTAAAGCAATCTCTTTTTCAATCCCCAAATAAGGTCCCAGGTAGCTCAAGCAGTGCCTTCCAAGATCATTAATATTTCTGGGGTTATGATTGAGGTGCCATCTGTATCTCTACTTAGTAGCCTAAATGCAGTTGCTGCTGTTACCCATCCCTACTCAGGCAATTCTGGCTGACCCCAACATTTAACCCCAGCCCTCTCCCTTCATCGCCCATATTGACTCTACGGTGCCTTTTATCAACTTAGAACTGCCCCTGATGCTCACACCAACATGGGAGTTGTCTCTGTCACTACAGGTAGTATATTACAGTTCTTATATTTGACTCTCAAGAGTTAGTATCTTACAGCCCTTTCTCTTTCAAGGAATGTGAGACCAGTCCCCTGGGGATTGGGTTAAAAGACATTTAAGAGATACCTCTAGTGGCAAAAGTAATGGAAATGGACTCTGATGCAAGGCCCAGGGAGCTCTCTTCTAACATGGTGAGTGAGTGTGTGTGTGTGTGTGTGTGTAACACCAAATTTTCCTGAATCGCTTTCCACAGTTCTTTTCACCACACCATGTAAGTAACAAAGATAACAATATCAAGTAACATTTAGTGAGCATTTACTATGTGCCAGACACTGTTCTAAGTATCTTATATGTATCACCTCATACATAACTTGGACAAAGGAATAGATTTGAGGCAATTAAAGCATTATGGAATGGGTGAATTTGGGGGCAAGATTTGAAGGAACTGTTAGAGTTTTACTAGGAAGCTAAGTGAAGATATGAAAGGAGAGTGACAACAGGATCACATCAACAATATACATATATGTGTATGATTGAGAAGAGGATGGCAAAAATAGATCAAGAAGCCAAAGGCAGGGAGAAGTACTAGCCCACAGGGATTTGAGGATGCTGAAATAAAAAGTGATCAAAGAAAGTTGATATTATCACCATTTGTGAATGGATTTCCTTCTACGTTTCAGAAGTAAAATTAATGTATGCTATTTTGATATAGTAAATAGAGCAGCTCCTGGGGCCACACTGACTAAAATAAATCAGACTCTTTTAATGGTCCTAATCATATCTTTAAAGAGTTACATATTATCTGTTAAATATTTGAATAGAGCATTGTTCTGGAATAGCCACAGCTTAGTCCTTTCCATAAAGTGGAAGAACCAGTCTGAAAGCTCTGTCTGAGTGAAAGCCACAGAGCAATGCTTCATCCCCAGTAGCAATGTGTTGACAAGGTGGTCTGCATCCATCCTGGCTGCAGAGACAGATGGGCTCTTAGCCAAGAGCATTAGGAGATTCCTGATGACCAGCCAGAGGGAGACCATGTGGGTGTATTATTAAGTCTGACTTGGTTAGATGAGAGATTGAGAGTCAGGCAAATGACGTGTGCCGAGCAAACCTGAAACCAAAGCCTAGATTGGGATAAATTTTCACCTTCTCAAAATTACCAAACTCCATCAATTATGCACTCTACTGGCTGCTTCTCCTCATTACAAACTAAAATTTCTCCTAGCCTCCACATTTTCACCTCTTACTCACATCTCAATCCACCACTCTTTGGTGTCTTCCCAATACCATTCAGTGAAACAGTTCCCAACTGTTTCATCAGTGATTTCTCAATCACCAGGTTCAACATACTTATCTCCTTCCGTATCACACCTGACCTCCTTGTGGCATCTACCCAGACATTTCCTTCCTTCTGGAAATTCTTTTACTCCTTGGCTCCTATGACACTACATTCTTCTTTTACCTGACCCTTAGATGTTGGTGTTACCTGGTTCCAAACTTGGGCACTGCTTTTCTCATTCTACAGTTTCCAGGGCATCCTCCGTTAAGGTTTCAGTGACCACTTATATGCTGATATCACTCAAAAGTCTATATTCTGTCTTGACCACTTTCTCTAAGCCATGTATTTAGCTGCCCACTAACTATCTCTCTGGATGGCCCATGGAAATCTCAACACATCCCAAACCACTCAAGATCTCATCTCCAAACTTGCTCATTCTTCATGGATTTCTACACCCTGGTGAGTGTCAAAACTAATCATCCTGCTGCTCCAGCCAGAAACCAGGGAATCAGTTTCTACCCTTCCTCCTTCCTACCCACCTGCCACCCAAAGAATCAGCAAGCTTTATCTCAGCCTGAAGGGGTGGCCTGCCCCTCCACACCTGTGGGTGTTTCTCGTTAGGTGGAACGAGAGACTTGAGAAAAGAAATAAGACACAGAGACAAAGTATAGAGAAAGAAAAGCGGGGGCCCAGGGGACCGGCGCTCAGCTTACAGAGGACCCACGCCGGCACCGGCCTCTGAGTTCCCTTAGTATTTATAGATAATTATCTTTACCATCTTAAAGATAAGGGAGTGGCAGGACAATAGGATCATTTTTAGGGAGGAAATTAGCAGTAAGACATAAGAACAAGGATCTGTGACATGAATAAGTTTAAAGGAAAATCCTGTGCCTTGAGATAAACCTTTTAGCAACATTGTTTCATCCTATCACATGGGGATAAACCTTGGACAATACCTAGCTTTTCTAGGAACAAAGTCACACCCTGCACGCCCAAAATCCATTAAACCTTGAGTTACCACATGTCTCTTGCAAGGACAAGGTTGGAGGTAGGGTCACAGATTAACAGCATCTCAAATACAGAACAAAATGGAGTCTCTTACGTCTACTTCTTTCTATATAGACACAGTAACAGGCTGATCTCTTTCTTTTCCCCACATCAGCCCTTGTTTTATCTCTCCTGGTGAGAGAAAATCAATGGAGGTCCTACTCCCAGCCTCTCACCCTCAAGTCTAGTCCCATGCTGGCCACCAAAGTGATGTCTAAACCTGAACTGTGATCATGTCCCTCTATTGCTTATTGCCCTCCTCTGGTTGGCTTCCAACTGACAACCTTTCCCCTCTCATTTCTCTCCTCTTCCCTACATCCACCCCGTGCCCACAGGGAGGCTGGACTATAGATGCAAGCAGGCAACAGCTAGGGCTTTGGTGGCTAGTCAGAGGGATCTGAATTTGATATATGAGGATACAGAAATCATTCTACAGCTTCATGAGCAATGTGTGACATTATGGCAGCTGCATACGGTAGGTTCTAGAAGAGAGATGTTAGCAGATTATTACAACTGAGGCAAAGAGGACCTAGACTCATCTTCCACAGTGAGAAAAGAGGAAAAAATGAATCTGTAGGACAGGTAAGTACAGGTCAATACCAAAAAAAGAAAAACAAAAAAAAAAAAAGGAAAATCATGAGACGCAAGTAGCAAGGAAATGCATTGGTAAAGTAATGTAAAAGCACTACTCACAAAGTAAACAATCCACAGGAAATCTAGAGACTTTAAAGCCCCATCATAGGAAGCCCAGCACCACAGAACAAGAGCAGGGGTTAAAACGCACACACCATTCTACAGGGCCAGCGAGGGAGGCCAATGGTGGGGAAAACTTTAGCTTCTGTAAAAAGGAGAGAGGATAGACACAACTAGCAGAGAATACAGACACAAATGAGAACTGTCCTTGTGACAAGGTGAGGGCCACAGAAAGCCAGCAGCATTTAGGAGGTATGCCAGCTGACCCCTTAAAGAAGGTGGGCTACAGCATGATTAAAGAAGCAGCATTCATTCATTGGGCAGACTCTAAACGACTTATTCATTCTACTTACTCCTCACAAAGAGGGTGTTAGGAAGATTCTTACTCTCAAAATGTCTTTGAAAGCGCCCAGCTAGGAACTTTAGAGTAAAATAGTGGTAAATGAACATGTTGTTCTAGAGCTAATGAACTGTATACGTACATAAATCTTCAGAAAGGGATGCTAATTTCAAAAACGTTGTCCAAAAGGTTGCCAGGATTGGAAACAAGTGACGGGCCAGAGTAAGTCCTTTTCACAAACACTGCAGGCCTATGAAACGCACAGAGAGAAACATAACCGCTTATGGACTTTGGACTCATGTAGTTCCAGGTTCGAATCCCGTCTGTGCCATTCTGCAAATCAGAAAACCTCCCAGGACTCCAATTAAATAGCTTGCCCTAGGTGGGTCACACTGCATTGTTAAGGGCAGACCTGGGGCGAGAACCCAACAAGGTCGCTGACTCCGGAGCGGTGCTCTTTCCGGCAGCTTGGTGCCCAGCAAAGGGTCCCCCGGGCCTGGAGCACCTTTGTCCCCGACTCACCAGAGAGCACCCGCGGAAGTGGCTGACTGGGGGTAGCCAGGCAGGGGTCGAGTCAGTGGGAGGTGTGCGTGGGACCGGGGGGCGCGAGTGGGGAGAACCCCCAGAGTGGCGCGGACTGGAGGGGAAGGGGGCGGCCGGGTGGTGATTGGTTGGGCTGCGGCAGGCAGCTCCCGGCCAAGAACAAAAGAGAGCAGGCGGCTGGCGTCCTCCGGAGTAGGCGCTCCCGCCCGCCCGCCCGGCGCGGGCTTCCGTGCTAGGGAAGGACGCGCCCACCGCCCGCCTGCCGAGCAGCCGGGCTGGCGCGCTCGGTTTCTCCGCGAAAGCCGGCCGTGTACCTAGGAATTAACCGGCCGGCGCAGGAGGGGAGGGGAGCGGGAAGCGGGGTGGGGGGGGATGCTGAGCGCGCGCGAGAACAATAATAAGATCGTGTTTGCGGTCGCTGCCCGAGGAGGAATTCGGAGCAGACGCGAGGCCCGGCGCTCGCGCTGCGCCCGGGAGCCCGGTAGGGAGGCCGGCGGCGGCGGCATGAGGCAGGCGACGCGGCGCTGGTAAGCAGCGCGCGCGGCGGCGGCGGCGGGGACCTTGGCGCGGCCGGACGCGGGCGAGCGCCGAACGGCCGGGGGCTCCCCTCCCCCGCTGCCGGGCCGTGATTTGCCGGGCCTGCTGCGCCCCCCGCCCACCCCTTGCCTCAGCCGCCGCCTCGCTGCTTCCCCTCGTCGGAGCGGCCGCTCGTCCGCCCGGCTTGAGGCCCGCGGGGAGTGCGGCGCAGTCCGTCGGCCCGCGGGGGGGCGGCCTCCCGGCATCTTCGCGGCAACCAAGGACTACCAGGAAGGGGAGCGGCTGGGATGGCGCGTCCGCGGCCCCGCGAGTACAAAGCGGGCGACCTGGTCTTCGCCAAGATGAAGGGCTACCCGCACTGGCCGGCCCGGGTGAGTACCGCGGCCGCGCGCGGGCCCGCCCGCCCACCATTTTCCCCTTCATGATGGCGCGCCCACCCCCTTTCCCCATCGCCTCAGCCGCGAGCCCGTAGCTCGCGGCCGGCCGTGGTGAGGGCTGAGGGCGGCGCGGCACCGAGAAGACGGGGCCGGGGCTGAGGCAAGGGCTCCCGGCCGCGCCCGCACTCCGCCAGGGCGGCCATCCTTCCGCCCACTTTCGAAGGCGGGTCCGGCCCCCGCAGGCCCGACGCTGCCTTCCTCCTGGAAAGCCGGTGCCGACCGGGAAGCCACGCCGCCGGGCAGCGGGCCTGGGATGGAGGCTTCGGCTTCGGACAGGGTCGTTAGTGGATACCCTGGGTCCCGGGCGAACGTCGGGGCAGATACGGCAGCGGGGTGAACGGCTGTCCGCGAGCCGGCGAGTGCCGGCGGGCAGTAAATCCTGGAAAGGGGTAGTGGTCATCCAGAGGCCAGCAGGAGCCTCTTGGCAGTTATTCATCCATCTCTTTGCTTTCCAGACTTGTTGAGTTTTCCCTGAGCGTGATTCCCGGTGCCCCGCCTGCCCTATCATTGTCCCGGGGTACGTGCCTCTCTGGTGCCTGTCGTTCTTTTAAGCCGACCTCTGATAGCCGAGAGCTAGCAGCCTAGCTCTGACTGGTGGGTCCAGCAAGCTTCTTGTGCCTTTCCACCTCCATATTTGTTTTAGGTAGACTCTCAAACCTTATTCTTGGCCTCCTACTACAGTCCACAATAGCTCTCTCTTCCTACATAACAAGGTTGTCGTTGGGCTGTTTTTCTAGAAAGCATCTGCATGTAATACATAGCATTCACAATTTTTATTGAGCCCTTTGAGGAAGACACGCAACACTGCCATGTATGCTTTGTGTTTTAGAATAAATCCCTTTTTTTTTTATTTTTGTATGGTTGGCAGTTGATTGCTTGAAATAAATCTTGTGAAAAAGAGGGTCAAGGCATTCTGGAGATTATATTGGTATCCTTTAGGAACGGAAACAGGCATGGAGAAAATTGGCATAAATATAGAGTGTGAGCTCTAAGGTGTTATATTGTAGTCAAGTGAAGATAGCAAGACCAAGGAAAAAAAAATACACCCATTCACAAAAGGAAGTGACATCACGAGTGGCCAGACTGAAATTTAGTGAAGTTGAAGTAATGGATGGACATAATCACTTTTTAAATATTTGGTTTGGCACGATTGTCAGATGGAAAGAACACTAGGCCAGGAATTGGGGGACCTGCTGTCTGGTTCATACTCTGTTATGGACTAATCATTTCAACTGTCTGCATATCTATTTCTGCAACTGTAAAATCATCTCTAGGATCCTTTCCAACACCAACAACCTCAGATATCAAGAGGAAAAAACAGTCTTATTCAGGTTCCAGTAGACTGAAAATAACTTCACATCTGAACTGTAGGTTGTCCTTAAAATAAGACAAAGTTTTTAAGGTAGAATAGCTGGTTATTTTTTATGCTGTAATACAATATTGCTTAGAGAGGCAAGATTTGTGACTTTAGGAGTCCCTGAATATATTTGTGACTTTAGAAAATCGCGGAATCTATTTGCCAAGTAAGAAATGTATAGCTTTAGGGCGTATGTGTATAAACACAGCCAAAGCCAATTAAAGGTTACCATTACCAGTTAGTCATTTCCTAGTAACATAATGGCTTTTCAAATTTTTCCTTTGAAAAATATCTTCTGAGAGTCAAAAAGAAAATAGACTTAAAATTTCATTAACATGTTGCTTGCACAGGTTGGCCACCTGTAGTAATTTGTGAAACAGAAAAATCCTACAGAAGTGGTCCTAGTTGTATATCTAATTGTACATAAAATCCCTCTAAGTGATAATTCCAAATCAAGGCAAAATGGAAAATAAAGTGAGGAAACAAAATTTTTAGATAAAATAAGTACACAAAAGAAAAATCTGTATCCATTCACATTTAACGAGCTCTTCAAGAAACAACCTAAGACTCAAAAAAAAAAAAAAGTGTTTTCTCTTGAGTGGCATGCTGCAATTTCCAAAGAAAGGTAAAGATTAGAAAAAGAAAAAGATTTGAGTCCCCTTTTTTACAGTGCATATACTTCACATATGTTTTCATTTTTTTATCCCAATTCTATGAGGCATTATTCCCATTTTACACCTAGTTATAGCTGTGGAGGTGATAATGTTATAAAATACTAACGGGGAAAAAAAAGTCTTGCTTATTGAAATTTCAAATTCTATCACTTGATATGAAGGCCAGTTATGTGGGAATTAGATACTCTGGGGCCCCAAGGACTCAAACTTAGGAGGAAAACCAGGAGGAGACAAATTTCAGAGTACAGGTTGTAGGAAGGAACTTTGTGTTAGAGCTGGTTCATGCAGGAATGGAGAAGCAACTTCCCTGCTCTAGGGAAGATGTTTGGTCCTAGGCAGCCCGTTGTGAGGAATGTAGGTCAAGAGGATTCAGAATTCCTACAAGTTGGATTCAGCTCTTGGCTGGGCTTCACACTGTGACCTTGTGCATATTCTGTAATCTTTCTAAGTTTCCATTTACTCGTCTGTAAAATAAGGATAATTCTCACCTCACAAATACAGAGTATCTAAAAGCACCAAGTGATGGTACTTGTATGTTCCTACCATTTCCCTTTTTGAATTTCTTTTTTTTTTTTCTTTTCTTTTTTTTTTTTTTTTTGAGACGGAGTCTCGCTCTGTAGCCCAGGCTGGAGTGCAGTGGCCGGATCTCAGCTCACTGCAAGCTCCGCCTCCCGGGTTCACGCCATTCTCCGGCCTCAGCCTCCCGAGTAGCTGGGACTACAGGCGCTGCCACCTCGCCCGGCTAGTTTTTTGTATGTTTCTTAGTAGAGACGGGGTTTCACCGTGTTAGCCAGGATGGTCTCGATCTCCTGACCTTGTGATCCACCCATCTCGGCCTCCCAAAGTGCTGGGATTACAGATTTAAGCCACCGCGCCCGGCCTATTTGTCAACTTTCAACTCGTTATTTTTCCAATTTTTATCCTGAAAAATTTCAAATACATAGATAAGTTTAAAAAATTATACTGTGAAGACCCATTTATCTACCACCTAGATTCTACAATTAAATTTCATTCTACTTGCCCTTTCATGCATCTGTTTGTATATTCATCCCTCTATCTACATAATAGTTCCTCTTATTTTAATGCATTTCAAGGTAAGTTGCAGACATCACCATAATTTACTCCTAGGCACGTGCATACTGTTACCTAGTGGTTAATACTTTGAATGGATCCTTTTCTCTTTTGAGGTAAAATTTACATAGAATGGAATGTAATTACCATTCGATGAATTTGACAAACGTGTACATTGGTATAATATAAATATACCTCTGTATATAATATGTGTCTGATATATATAAGTATATGTGATACATATCATATGTAATATAAATACATGTAGATATACATTGGCATAATACCTACCAAGCTATAGAACAGTACCTACGAAAGTACTCTCATGCCTCTTTCTAGTAGATTCCTGTCCTCCTCCTTCCTTCTCCCCCACTGTTCAGATGTATTATTCTAACATTAAATAGCAGCTGGGCTGTTTCTCATTTAGTATGCCTAATTTTGTATGGCTTTAAAAATTAGAAGTTCCTCTGTTATGGATTATCTAGCTTAATACTAAAAAATGCTGAGGCTAAAACAAGAGTCTCTGAACTCTTCTGTTTGTGTACCCTGTTGGTAAAATAATTTGAGCATACATCCCTAATATATGTAAATTTTCTTTATGTATGCATGTACTTTCTGTTACTACTATATACAGCATAAAATAAACGCAAACTAAAAGGGATGACTTGATGAAAACGATGTTTTAAAATTTTCATTGCACAATATCGTTAACAGTAATAATACTTATTACTTATAGGTTAAATTCATATTTTTTAAAGTCTTAATTTTTGAAATATTTTCCACCTGCTTCTTGTGAGATTTGACTAGATGGATGGTCATAGTTCTTAACTTCTGAAGAGATTTTCTAGAATGGAAGTGTCAGTTTAGACATTTCCTTGTTGTTTGCTTGTATCTATGTTACTAATATTATTTTTGTGTAGGAATCTTTCTTTTTTTTTAGCCACCTGTTCCTTTGGTGAGAGCTAGTTCAGTTAGAAGTAGATATTCCATAATCCTGCTCACACCAAATGGCAGTAAATCACAGTATACCCAATGTGAATAAACATAACCATCTGAATAAGAATACTATTAGTAGTGTCAACTTGCATAAAAAATATTAGTAAAATTTACTTTTTAGCTAAAAGAGTAAGAAACTGAAATCGAAATTCTATTTTCTTCCCACACCCCGCCCAAACCATTCCCTGAGATGTGAGCACTCTGTTTATGTTACCCCCTACTCTAAAAGGTCAGAAAACAATATAAACAAAAAGCCTCAAAATTCTTGTGCCTCAACTAAAGCACTTTTTTACATTTAAAATGTTATATGAGAATTCTCAAACATTGCTAGTAGAGTGTATTGATACAGTTACTTTAGAAAACTGACTTAATCTACATATGCTTACCTTGTGACATAGCAGTCTGTTCTAGGCATATACCCAAGAGAAATGAGTGTTTATATTCACCAAAATACTGTATACATAACAACTTTCTTCATAATAGAACAGGAAACAACCCAAATGTCCATCAACAGGAGAATGAGTAAACAAATTTGTAGTGTAATTCACACAGTGGAGTACTATTTGACCATTAACAGGAATAAATATACAGTGGTCACTGGTTTGCGGTGGGTAGAAAGGAGTTATTGAACGGGAGAAGGCACTGGAAATGTTCCCTGTCTTGATCTGCATGGTGTTACATGGGTGTATGTATGTAAAAATGTATCAAGCTGTACATTTAAGATTTGTGCACTATACTGTATGAAAGTTATACCTCAATTTAAAAAACACATTTTAGATGAGTTAGGGAGAAAGGAGAACTAATACTTTTACATGGATTAAATTTCACTATTTTTA